GGCAGGGGCTGGAGAGCAGGAGAAAGGTCTTTGCATTGAGTGAGAAATGAAGCTTTTAATCATTGTGAAATAGGAGACTGGAAGAGAGTTGAATGGGGATGGAGGGACGTGATCATAGTGCTGTGGAGCCGGTGTCAACGACTCTGGAAGTTCCCTTCAGCAGGTTTAACTGGGGAGTTGTAAAGATGAATGCATCAGGTACTGTGCTCATCGCCACCGTTTACTGAACAGCTGCTCCACTCAGATGTCAAACTGCGTGAAGCAGACTGCATTACTTAATTCTAACAATTGTCATTTGGGATCCAGGTCATCATCCCATCTTACAGATCAATTAAGGTGGAGAGAGGTTGTGATTTGTCCTGGGTCATGCAGTGGGTCACTGAGCTAATGAACCTGGTATTTTTGGCTTGAAATGGACCAGGTCCTTGTCATTAGGTTCTACATCTCTCATATGGAAAACATCTGAGCTAACTCATTCTGGAGCTACGCACATCTTCCTTCCGGTTATTGCTGCCGATTCCTGTAACACCGTGCATTCATGGGCCTCCGGTGCTGTTTAAGGGGCAGGGGAGAAGAGCAAGGTGAATTCCACGGGTCCAGCAGAGCAAACCACCCACAGGGGACACAGAGACAGCATCTTTTACAGCAGACAACACCAAAATAGGCTTCACTTAGTCGAAGTTCACTGTGGCAGCATTTGGAAATGTGGGCGGGCCAGAACTTACGATGATCCTGTAGAGGAACTGAACAGGAACATCTGGCCACCCTTCCCTGCAGGCTCTCCACCCGCTCAGGCCTCTGGGCTCAGAGCTCAAGGCTGAGGGTGTGTTTGCTTGGCTGTGACTTTCCCTTCGGCTTCTTTTTCTGGGTGTCTTATTTCATGAGCTGAGCCTGCCACGGAGCTCTGGGATCCTGCCTGCTTCAGTCTGAGTCTCTGGCTTTCACGGCTGCCCCCCCTAGCCAGATCTGGGCAAGGGTTTGAAAAATGATACTGATTGGACGCACATTTGGTGGAGGTGATGGCCGGACATGCAACTCACCAATCCGCAGACCCAAAAGGAAATGGAAAGATACACCCTCCTGATAGGGGGCCAGGACACAACCTCAGGGAGGCTCCGCCCACTCCTCTCCACCCACACCTCTGCCTCCTGAAAGGGAGGTATGGACCTCCAAGCCCTGTTCCCAGCCTCTGCTCCCTACACAGGCAAGGCTGTCACCTCCATGATGAAAAGGCGCTCTCCTCACCCTGCCCCTAGGTGGAATATGCTAGTCTTCTGTTTGGGGCTGCAGATTCACTTCCCAATCACGGAGCCCACATCTCTGCTCTGCTGTGGCCCAGCACCTCCATTGCCTCGCTATGCCAGATCCCTCTCCTTGTGCCTCCCTGCCTTCTCTGCAGGTCTTTTCTCATTCAAAATCTTATCAAGCTATTACAAGGGAGCTCAATAAAGAAGAAAGAACACATTTGTGACAACTCTTTCTCCATTAATTTTTTGGGTTTCATGGATTGGGATTACCAGCTAGAATATGTGTTTCTTAGAAAGGATGGAATTCCAGACCATTTGAAAGAGCCAAGGCCTGCCCCTAGCTGTTTAGAGAACAGCCCAAATGTTGGGCTAAATCCATCTCCTAGAGAAGTCATAAAATCTAGGTCCCCAAAACCCCCTCAACAGGCAACACTGAAACTCTAGAGTCCCCCAAGATCAGCTGCTACCAGCTGAAGTGTCCCACATTTCTAATGTATGTAGGACTAGATCTACTTGAGAAAATAAGTCCAGGTAGGAGATTTGCTCTGACAACCCCGAATGCTAACATGGACTGCTTCTTATTAGAGTAGAAGACGGGCTCTCTGTTTGCTTTTGGTGTGTTTGTTTCTGCTGCCAAGGTGTGTTGTAATGTCAGGATTGTTTAATATGTATGAGCCTCCGCCATGTACGAGGGAGAATCAGAATGCATCTGCTGTGAAATGAGATTGGTTCCAGTCATTTAAACAGCTCCAGTTGTAATAATAGTAGGCAAGATTTGATGCCAAGCACTGTTTTTAGGGATTAACTCATTTAGTCCTGAGGCAGGTCCTACCAGGCCATGCTGCTGTAGCATTCCACTTCCGGACGAGAAAACTTAGGCATGAGCATTCACCAGCTCGCTTACAATCCACAGGCAGTCAAGGCCAGAGTTGAAATTGGAGGCCACATAGCTTGTTCTAAAGCCCACGTTTCAACTACTGAGTTAAGATGTATGGTAGGGATGTAGGATCGGATGGGCTAGGCTTATACATTCTAACCCTGAGAGCCTGTCCTCATTGACAACAGTGACCACAACTACCCATGAAAGACATCCTCTTTGAGACTGAAAAGAAAATCTGCTGGTTTGTTAGTCACTGATGTTTGTAACGTGTCTGTTCGTCTATCTGCCTGAGACGTGTCCTTCTGAGGGCACATCGCCCATGAAACAGGAGGCTGGCAGAAAGATCCAGTGGCAGAGGTCGGTGGGATAAGGTGTTCAAGAAGAAGAAGAGCCAAGGGATTGGAGTCCCAGAAGCTGTCAGAAAGATGCTCTGCCAGGTCCTGAGTGGGTGGTCCTCTGCTGTTGCTATGTGCACACTTGAGGCTGCCCAGGCATCAGAGACGGCATTGCTGATGCTCACTTAATTCTGCCTTATTCCTGGATATTGCTCCTTCTTCCCAGTATCACTCATGAAAGAAACAGGGTTTACTCTGTCCCAAAGACCTGACCCCAGTAGTTGCCCTAATGGATACCTTTGAAGACTATAGAGTTGTTGTGGTTGGGGAATTGTGTGAGGGTGACTGTGGTTCTATGACTTGGCTTCTGCAAACTGTCCATCTGGCTGTTGTACACCACCATGCTGTTCTCTGTATTTCATTGAAATGGATTTTCAATTTCTCTTAGGTTTGTTTCAACTACCTTTCTGTAAAAATCACTAATTATTCCCACAAATGCCACCAATTTCACGAAGGTAAAAAAAAAAAAATCAGCTTTAAGCCAGGCCAGGTGGTACAGGCCTGTTTTTCTATCTGCTTAGGAGGCAGAGGCAGGAGGATCAAACATTTTGAAGGCTTCCTGGGCAGAAGGGTGAATTCAAGGCCAGCTTGGGTCACTTACTGAGATGCAGCCTAAAAATATGAAGCATATTGAAAACTGTTGTGGGAGTTCAGGGGTGGTATGTTTCTCTACCCTAAACAAAACTCTCAACTCAACCCCCAGTACTGGAGAGGGAGAGAGGGGCGGGGTGGAGAGGGAGGAAGAAGGAATTTAGGTTTAGTTTTATAACCCACACATAAAAACAAGAGGGCCAATCTTCTTTCTAAAATTCTTAAACCTAAATGCTGCAAGTTTGGAATCTGCATACAACTGCTTTAGACAAGTCTTAGAAAGAGCTCCTAATCCCTGTTATTCTTACCTAACCATGTCCAACCAGTTGGTTTGAAAGCTGTTAGGAGAGTGACATCCTGCACCGGCCTTAACTTTAGCAAACGCTTGTATGCTCTCTTTGCAAACAAACATTATTCCTCAGGAGAGAGCTCTCTACCACCATAGGCCATGCAGAGGTGGCTGCCATCCCAGGAGCTGTAACTATGACTTTGCCCTGAGGCCATCCATTACCAATTTTCCAATATTGTAAGATTCTAACTATGTGATCTCAGTCTACCTCTCACTAAACACTTTGCATTATATTCTGGTTTTTACCTATAATAATCATTTACCACTCTTCACATGACTGGATCTTCTACCCTGGCTCAGGTCACTGTGAGCACCATACCTGCCAGGTCTCTGGTGGACTCCAGGACTCTGACCTAGTACTCGTTTACACATCACACACATCCCTTTCAGAGAGCTGGGTCAAGCACATCATGCAGTTTATCTGAAGATCCACCCCTGGAGGAGTTTCTTCTTAGGAAGGCCGGGGCTGGGACTCTAGGAAGAGTGTTGGGCTTTTCACGTGGTTCGGCTAAGCATCCATCGTGTACAGGTGAACTTCTACACAAGAAGAAGTATTTACCCAGAAGCCTAAGTGTGTTATAGTTCTCTTACCAAACATGTTAAAAATGTACATTCTAACCCAAATCCTGGAAGACATGGAACTTGAGCCCTGTACTGTTGGGACTTGGGGTCCTGGCAAGGCATGAGAAGGGACAGTGCGGAGAAGACACTGTGACGGGTACCTGAGTCTATGAAGCACTTCTAGGGCACTGTGGAGAACAAGGCAGACACAGCTCATGCCATCCAGTTGCCTACAGCTAGCAGTTGAGAACAGAGAGGGAAACTTTATACTGTGCAATTAAACAAATGTGTTCTCTTCTGTAGCTCGTCACTCAGTATGGGGCAGTAAAAAGAAACCAGAGAAACTCTGAGCAGTGTGGATTTGTGTTTCGGTAGTGTTCTGCACCCTGATGAATCATTTAGGATTCAGGGAGATGAGGTGGGGGTTGGGAGGGTTGGGGGCGGGAAGTGTCTGAAGATGAACAAAACAAGGGAGGAACCAAGCGTCAGAGGTCAGAAGATCTCACTGTTTTAGGACTGTTAACTGGTATCATTATAACTGTTCTAACATGGTGGAGCAGATGAGGGGAGCTCTAGAGGGTCTTGTTTTTATTTTCTTTATGTTTTTCAAATAAGGTCTCACAATGTAGTTCAGATTGGCCTCCACCTCACAGCCACCAGGTTGTCTTAGCCTCCCAAGTGCTGGGCTTCTAGGTGTGAGTCCCCAATCCTAGCTTTGGAGTCTTTTGAAAGAGGAGTGAATAGAAGATTGCTTTTATAAACAGCACCAAAAGATCTCCGTCACGATGGAGTGACTTGTCACATGCTCCAGTCCCATCCCACAAGGGGGCTGGGATTTCACCGTGAGTTTCAGAGTCAGCCCAGCATTCAGCACTGTCTATGAGACCTCTGAACAGCCGTGGACCAGTTAACCCGATGAGGTTACTGCAGGCTCTCTATGGTGAACCAAATGGCATAATTTTGGCTTCTGCTTCTAGGTCTGCCACAGGCTCCTGAAGACATGCCCCAAGGCACAGCTCGGAGAGATCAAGTCTCCAATTCCAATCCTTTCTGCAGGCTCGCATCTCTTTCCTGTTGGACTATGGCTTGCTCTGCTTTGAAGATGCCTCCAGGACCCAGAGGGAGCCATTAGCTAGCCTTGTTTCTGTGGAGATCTTTGGCTGCACTTTCGCTGTCTCTCCCAGAGGTGAGAGGCCGTGGTTCCCGAAGCCTCAGGCTTGGCACCAGCTCCTCCCTGGTGAGTTCAGATCTCAAATCTGACTCCAGCCAGGGTTTCCTCTCTGTCCCAGAGTGACCTTGCAGGCCGCCTAGCAGACTGACTCTTAGCAGCCTTCACCATTGGTGATTTTCATTCCAGACAGGAGCCAATGGGTTTCCGAAAGAGACTGTGGGTGTCTCTTACCATCTCCACTCTGGCCGGGGTCTGGCAGAGATTTCCTCTGTGGACTGGGTAAGGAGTTCTGATGAAACCAGGCTGTCCTGGTGCTTTGTGATGTGTAGAGCAACCAAAGCTCTTATTACTGGTAGATGGCATGTGCCTGGGCTGAATAGGAACCACATCCCTCTTGAGCTGAGGTCGACTCTGTTACGCTACGGTGGGCCCTATACAATGTTTGGAGCCATGACTGGCAGTGTAGAGAGCATCAACAACCTTGGTCAGAGAAGCTGTTTTTTTTTTTTTTTTTTTTTTTTTTGCAGTGGACAGTGGGTAATGCAGATACTCATAACTGGTCAAAGTGATGAGAACAAGTGACTGTAGAATGCCCATCCCTAAACAGGACAGCTATATCTAGACCCTCCTCATCGTCGCAGGCTCAGGGAACATCATAGAAGGTGCTGAGAGAATGTAAGAGCTATGGGTTGGAGGGATGCTGTGAAATGCTGTCTTCTAGATATGACATGGCCGTTACGCTCAGGAACCCACGGCAGCTGTGGTCCCCTGCAGAAAACTTGCACTAGGTCAAGCCAATTAGCATCCCAGGATGAATGGAGAAGGGACTCCAGGAGCTCCACCCCTACTAGGATGCAGTTGATGGCTGGAGAGGGGTGTTGTTTCTCTTTGGGGACATAGACATTGATACTCCATATATATCTCCATGCTCCAGTGGATGCGCATACTCCAGTGGATGACCACACAACCACATGCATGCAGGCAGCATTAATTTGAATTAATGGCTATATAAAAAAGAAGGGGGCGTTTGGGTAGGAGAGGGGTATGTGAGGACAGGAGGAGCGGAAGTGTGGAGTAGGGGTGTACATGTATAAAAATGTTAAAAATGAGTTAAAATACTACTTAAAAACTTTAGAGCCTTGGGGCTGAGAGGCAGCTTGGAATCCCTCCGCTCTCATTTATCCCAATTCCTTCGGTGAAGAGAGAGCACAGCCCTTTAAGGGAACTGCACCCCTGTCCAGACTCTAGGGAGATCTGTGGTAGAGCTGGAGGTAAAACTCAGGCCCACAGGGAGGTTTGCTGGTAGCTTCTGTTTCTGTCCTCACTGGTCCAGAATCCTTCAGGGGCTCTGGACTGAATGAGGAAAGTGTATTATACAAAGCTTAGCCCATGACCTGGTATCTGGTACGTGCTCCATAAATGTTTATCATTATGCTAACAACAACAACAACACCTTAAAGGAGCAAGATATTTGTGCCCCTGAGACACTTAAAGTTTTGTTGAGGACTCATAAGACTCACAGTCAGACACAGACATAACTGGGGAATCGTAGGGTACAGGTTATCATGAGATTATCTGCTGAATCAATGGATCCAGCAAGGGAGGAGATATATGATCGCCTCTAGGGTGTGCTACAAGGACGGAAGTGCTTAGTAGAAGAACCAAGTGTTCTCTGTCTTCTCCATTGTTGGCAGTGAGGGCAACGGGACAGTAGACACTTCAGGTTATCAAGGAACTCCACACCACCCTATCAGCTGCCCCCATGCGCTCACTGATTATCACCACTCTCAGTGTTTTGCACTGGGGATCTAAAGAAGACAATGGTGTCGTAACTTCCTTTAGTAACATTCAAGTTTGATCCCCAGTACCAATGCTTAAGAAGAAAAAGGCCCATGTCTTATAGTGGTTTGAATAGGAATGGTCCTCCTAGGCTCATATATTTGAATGCTTAGTCACCAGTGAGTGGAACTGTTTGAAAAAATTGGAAGTATTAGGAGGTGTGGCCTTGTTGGAGGGAGCGTGTCACTGGAGGTGGGCTTTGAGGTTTCGAAAGCTCATGCCAGACCCATAGCCTGCACTCCAGGCCTGCAGATCAGGATGTAGCTCTCAGCTACTTTTCCAGTGCCTGCATGCTGCCATGCTCCCCGCCATGATGATCATGGACAAAACCTCTGAAACTGTAAGAAAGGCCCCAATTCAATGCTTTCTTTTAAGACTTGTCTTGGTCATGGTGTCTCTTCAGCAATAGAACAGTGACTAAGACATGCCTGTGATCCTATCACTGGAAAGGCAGAGATAGGATGTCTGGTGCTTCCTGGCTAGCCAGGCTAGTTGAATCATCAAGCTTCTGATTCAGGGACTCCATATCTCAAAATATGAGGAGAGTGCTTGAGTGAGACAGCTGAGACTGAACTGACTTCTGTCCTCCACCAACATGAACACGTGCACCTGCACAGGCATGCATATGCATACACACACACACACACACACACACACACACACACACAGAGAGACAGAGAGAGAGAGAGAGAGAGAGAGAGAGAGAGAGAGAGAGAGAGATGCAAATAATTATTCACATCCATGCACACTGTTCTAAAGCCCCCCTTTTGTTTTGTTCTGTTTTCTAGACAGAGTTTCCCTGTCCTGGAACTCACTCTGTAGACTAGGCTAGCTTCACAGAGATCCACCTGACTCTGCCTCCTGAGTGCTGGGATTAAAGGCGTGCGCCACCACCGCCCAGCTTTCTAAAGCCCTTCTTATGTGTTGTCCTTACAACATTCCTTAGGGACAGGTGCCATTATTACCCTCGCTTTCACAGATGAGGACAAAGACGCCAAGGCCCAGGGGAGCCCAGGGCCCTCTAGGTGGTGAGAGGTAGAGATAACAGCGTTCTACAGAAGCCTGGAGAGTTCCTCTTCAAACAAAGTGATGGAGAAGGAGCAGCCTGGAGGAGGAGGGGGAGCATCGAGTGTGCCACCCAGAGGTCGAAGGATGTAATGGAAACTGGACCAGATGCTGCTTCTGGCCTCACCACTGAGACCTCAAGAGCAAGGAAGGCAGTGTTATCACCCACCCGGAGTCCTTGCTTGTCACTCTTTCCCATTTGACGCCTTTACCCTATGACCTAAATCCTCGTTCTAAGATTCCAGACCACGAACACACTGGTGATGAGTTAAAATCTAGGCAATATTAAGAAACGGACACTTCACTTAGCGGCAGGCGGCGAGCTCTCCTGGAGTGAGTTCTTGTAGGTTATTCTTTGCTTGACACTAGGTTGCCTCAAAACCTAGTGAGACAAGGCAGCAATCATCACTTCCCACATGGCTCTGCTTAGGTGACCGGGCTCAGCTAAGCTGGTCTTGCTCAGGGCCTGCCTTAAAGTTGCAGGAGGTTGCTGTGGTGGGGGCTTGCCTAGGAGGGTTCCTCTCTCCCAAGTATGAGAATAGATACTGTTGTCCTGTGGGACCTCAGCGAGAACACCTACATGTGACTTCTCCGTGTGGTCCCGGCTTCATCACAGCAATGGTGGCTGGGGTTCCAGGGTAGCAGTCCTAGGGAAGAGACCAGATGGCCTTTAAGGATACACTTTCACAAGCATCATTTTCTACCCCTTCATTTTGCTAGATGAGACTCCGTTAAGCTTATAGTCAAGGGAGAACAATTAGGCATGAGACTCAGTGAGAATGTAAAAACGGTCTGTGGAAACACTTTAACACCACCATAGAGGTTTTCCTAGTAACCATTCTGGTTTTAAAATAAGCAAACAGAACCTAAAGAAGTTGGGTGTGGCTCCACATTTTAGGAAGGAAGATCAGGTAGCTGGGCCAGGAGAGGCAGACAAATAGGGAATGACTGCCGGTCTAGATGAGGAGAAGTCTGACCCTGCCTCTGGGGTCCTGGAGAAAGGTCATGTAACTGGAGAGCATTGGGAAAGACAAGGTCTCAGGTCTCTTAAAGCCTTCACTGCTGTGGTTCTGTGGTTTTGAAGACTAGAAAGTTCTTCCTCTGGCATCTTCCAAGCCGTCCTGCCACCGTCCCTCATGCTGCCCCTCCTGTGTCCCAAGCTTTGGAGAGATAGCCCTCTGCTCATGAGGAGCTGGGGTATGGGTGGGATGGGGAAGGAAACAAGAGAGGCTGTGTAGGACGAGATTCACATGCAGGATCATGTTTGGAAGTGAGGTGTGTGTGTGTGTGTGTGTGTGTGTGTGTGTGTGTGTGTGTGTGTGTGTGAATGAAGATCCAGGGCCTGCTAGGACTTAGCAAGGCAATGTCTAAGGGCTTGGCAAGTCAAAGGACATTGCATTGTGTGCAGTGCTGACCACTGTCTTGTGTTTGGAAAGATCTCTACCCTCATTTTGTATTTACGCTATCTACCTCTTCCTCCTGGAAATCTTGTGAAAATATTTAGGTTTAACATTGCAACAGAGTGCAATACACAAATGAAAATAGGTGGATGATGTCACACAAGGGTCTAGGACTGGTGACCACTCTCTGCCCAGGAAAAGGGGCGCCTTCTGCAAAGGTGAATTTGCTCTTTACCATCTCCTGTTCCTAGAAGGGGAATGAGGTAATGAAAGCTGTCTGGATCCCTCTTTCCTTCAACTACTTTACAAATTCTAGTTGTCTCCATTTTACAGATGAAAATACAGAGGTAAAGGGAAACAAACTCCTCAGACAAAGGCAGAAGTAGCACTTGCTGTTCCATGCAAGCAGCACAGGCCACTCTGGGTCACCCCAGGTCACCCGAGTCACATCTTCAGTCTTTAGGCATGTATTGGGTGATTCTGGGATTTGGGCATCACATGGAGAAGAACAAGGCCAGTAGACCCAGGGTGAAGTTGAGAGTGAGGAAGACTGACACATCCTCAGGAATCAAGATAAACATGAAGATGTTTGGCAAATTTTGTTGTTTGTGTGTATATGTGTCTGGGGACCTTTTACCCAAACCAAAGTCATTTCTGCATATTTGTCTGCTGAATATGAGATACTCCAAAGATGACTCTTCATATTTGTTAAATTTGAAATGGAAGTTACTCAGCAGAGAGGAAAAACAAGTCTTGAATGAC